AACTTGTTTTGTAGTCAACTAGTCCATCACAATGTCATGCATGAGGAGTACTGTAGGAGTTTGGCTTTCGGCTTGTACAATTCGTTTTCGCAAAGCTTCCCCTTTCTTTACCTATCTTTGATATTTATGACCCGCCCAAGTTGTGTGGTGTGCTGCTTTGCTGCTTCGAATTGTAGTTAGACCGCTTTGTCAACTATCGTACTGGTCTCGTCATCGTCCAGTAACAATCGACATTCTTTGTTCCGTTGGGACTGTAGCTTTTGCTCGTTTTCGTTTCGCTTGCCTTCCCCTCTTTGGTCTTTTCATAACCTTGAACCTTCCAAGTTGGAAGGCTGTCGGTTAGCGCTACGGAGATGTGTTGAAGCTAGGTGTCAGGACGTCGAATGTCTCAGTACTCTTGTCAGTTTTGTGCTTAGTTATTGCACTTTCTGACTGTATAATATAGTATCCAGTTACAGTGATGGAGAGTTACTCTTAACTTGTATCCATATGTCCTTTTCTTTTCTACATTTATTTATGGCTCAACATCCGAGTTACTAATAATAATAATAATAATATCGCTACAAAGACAACTAATTGCACCGTAAACATTTCATTATGTCGACATGTATGTGTAAAATGTTGTAGGATTATCGCAAGGCACACAACGAAAGGGAAAGCGAGGATTTGTTCAGAACTGTTTTCTTGTTACAATCATCAGTGAATCTACGTGACAATGGAATGGAGACTACTTGAAACTAATCTTATATGGACAGATAAAAGTGAAAGAAGGGGAAAAAGAGCGAAACAAAAAAGGTGATAATCGTACAACATTTTACACATACATGTCGACATTATATGAAATGCTTACGGTGCACTTAGTTGTCTTTATGGCTATATTATAACTTCTGTCTCCGAAACGCTTGTTCACTAATAATACTCCAAAAAATGTATTGGCTACGCATGAACCTGCGCATTAGGACATGTGTCAAAAAGTATTGAACGTTTTCGTTCCCTTCTTCTCAAAATGCTACAGGGAATGATGAAAATATGCTAAGAGACTACAGCTATAAAGAAAAGAATTTCCGAGATACATCACTCCAGTAATTTGTACAAGTGACAACGGAAAAAATAGAATCTGATGTGAATAGTCAAGAAAACAGCATGGATAATCCAATCTGTAAGAAAGGTTTGCTCCCCACACCGGAGCTCGCGCTATTCCGCCGACTTTAATTGACACTTGACTGACTCACGACTGCCATCCAGAGCACACGAGAAGTCCATCGAACCTTCGACTCGGCAAACCTGCAAGAAAGCACCACTCCCTGCTCAATACACAGTGTTTCGGGGAATTCACCCCTCATCAGTTGAGCTTGAGTAGGCTGAGGAAGATTGTGCCTGAAGAGCACCACTTATATAGTGCTCTCCAGGCACAAACATCACCAGGGATACAAACTTACAGAGATGCTCCGCTTCCAGCGCGATAAACACCTCGTGAACACCAGATAGCATCGTGAGTCAGTGTCGCTCCTGGACGGTGAGACAGACGTCGAGGACCCTCGGTCATTCGCAACGCTGTCACCTCCAAACCAACTAGTCGCAAGCCCGCGCTGGGCACAACAGTACGAAGTAGTGGGTGCGACTTCGGCGATGATTTGTAAGAAAGGTTTGCTCCCCACACCGGAGCTCGCGCTATTCCGCCGACTTTACTTGACACTTGACTGACTCACGACTGCCATCCAGAGCACACGAGAAGTCCATCGAACCTTCGACTCGGCAAACCAGCAAGAAAGCACCACTCCCTGCTAATGCCCTGCTAATGACCGAGGGTCCTCGACGTCTGTCTCACCGTCCAGGAGTGACACTGACTCGCGATGCTATCTGGTGTTCACGAGGTGTTTATCGCGCTGGAAGCGGAGCGTCTCTGTAAGTTTGTATCCCTGGTGATGTTTGTGCCTGGAGAGCACTATATAAGTGGTGCTCTTCTGGCACAATCTTCCTCAGCCTACTCAAGCTCAACTGATGAGGGGTGAATTCCCCGAAACACTGTGTATTGAGCAGGGCGTGGTGCTTTCTTGCAGGTTTGCCGAGTCGAAGGTTCGATGGACTTCTCGTGTGCTCTGGATGGCAGTCGTGAGTCAGTCAAGTGTCAAGTAAAGTCGGCGGAATAGCGCGAGCTCCGGTGTGGGGAGCAAACCTTTCTTGCAAATCATCGCCGAAGTCGCAACCACTACTTCGTACTGTTGTGCCCAGCGCGGGCTTGCGACTAGTTGGTTTGGAGGTGACAGCGTTGCGAATGACCGAGGGTCCTCGACGTCTGTCTCACCGTCCAGGAGCGACACTGACTCACGATGCTATCTGGTGTTCACGAGGTGTTTATCGCGCTGGAAGCGAAGCGTCTCTGTAAGTTTGTATCCCTGGTGATGTTTGTGCCTGGAGAGCACTATATAAGTGGTCCTCTTCAGGCACAATCTTCCTCAGCCTACTCAAGCTCAACTGATGAGGGGTAAATTCACCGAAACCCTGTGTATTGAGCAGGGAGTGGTGCTTTCTTGCAGGTTTGCCGAGTCGAAGGTTCGATGGACTTCTCGTGGGCTCTGGATGGCAGTCGTGAGTCAGTCAAGTGTCAAGTAAAGTCGGCGGAATAGCGCGAGCTCCGGTGTGGGGAGCAAACCTTTCTTACAAATCATCGCCGAAGTCGCAACCACTACTTCATAATCCAATCAGTGACAAAAACGTAGTGACAAGGATAAGAGAGATAATAATAAGAATTATGGGATATATTTCGCACCTTCACGACGAACAGTGCCAAACAACTGCAAAGAAAGCACATTCTCCTTCTGAACACACAGCTCAGGTCCTAACTAACATAATATGTACAAAGCTTCCAACACGCGAAGGACATTTTCTCTCTTTTTCTTGCCACTACGTTTTGTCGTTGGCCTTGAAATGAAAATATAATTTTTGATCAATAGTTGTAATTTTTTTCATATCTCTATATCTGATATTTGGGTTGGCATAAGTTCTCCCCGGTCAGATTGTTCCGACCGGAAAGGGTGGTGGAAGGGGTTTACATCTAGATCCGTTCAAGCAGCATGCATGCCAGATATCTTTTATTAATGGTGTTTGTGCATAGTGGGCAACTCATGATATAATATTGAATTGACATCTTCAGAGGAAAAATGTTTGCTCCCCACAATGGAGCTCGCGCTGTCCGCCGACTGCCTTCATACCTGGCTAAAGAGTGGTGATATTATGCAGGCTAGCTTGATTCGAAGTTTCGGTTGACTTCTTGTGTGCTCTTGGTGGCAATCATGAGTCGACTAAAATCAAGTCAGTAGGCGTATAGAGCAAGACCCGGTGTGAGGAACAAAAACTTTCCATATGAAGTAATCGCCGAAGTTGCTAACAGTTATCCCCTGTTGGTATCTTCGTTACTTCTGTCTTCACCACAACGTGCTTCACCAACTATAGCAAGGACAATAACACGGGAAATACATTAGCTGTAGTTTTAATTTTCATGTTTTTAGTGCGCACGCAACACACTCTTTTGTCATTTCATTGCGTGAACAACTGTAACTTGATAAAAGAACAATGATATTCAATGCATATCAGTGCCGAATTATTATTATTATTATTATTCAAACAGTAGTTTGGAGGCGGTGGGAAAACAGTTTCGTAATAAGTATTCGCATGCAACGACGCAAATCCACACAATTCAGTAGACACTTCTTTTCTATCAAACGTTTTCTTTCCCTTCTCTTCAGGATAGTACAGGGAATGTTGGAAATTTGGAAAAACACATAACTATATTTTTCTATATAGTTATGTGTTTTTCCAAATTTCCAACATTCCCTGTACTATCCTGAAGAGAAGGGAAAGAAAACGTTTGATAGAAAAGAAGTGTCTACTGAATTATTATTATTATTGCAAATAACGCTGAGTAATTACACGAATGCATAAAAACCAGCATTTGCTTCCGGGAAGGATTGACAAACATAAGACAAAAACACCATCAATGTAACTGCACATACGAAAAGCAGCTTCTATTGTCAAGTTCGAGTGGCAATGTCAGAAAGACGGTAGACTGTTCGTGCAGGATGTTCACCCTGCAGGGGATAAGTCAAGGACGCGGCTCGGCAGAGGAAGATGAGTGCCGCGGGGTGCCATTTCACCGTGACTTATCCCCTGCTATCAGTGCCGAAAGCGGAGGCTAATGTTGAATATGATGACTTTGTAACATATTGTACACCCTTTCTATAATATCTCCCTCTGGGCTAAAGAACTACCATGTAACTGTGTCTGAATTCATATAATTTTGTAGCAACAAAGATTCTCTGCACTTTATCAAGTCTGGTGCGGGCCATGCATGCTCGAAATTTTTCGATTCCAAAGGAGGTGTGAAGATGAAAGCGAAATTTGAGTGAGAGGTCATGGGGTGGGTTTTTGTGTGTGTGTGTGTCTGCGCGTGTTAAATGACAAGAATTATAAACATTGTGTCAGGTAAAGGGACAGTGCTAGAAATAGATGTGAACTGTATTAACGTGAGGACTTGGCACACTGTACATCTACTTACTAAGGGGAACACCAGCTACTACTAATTACAAATATATTGGCTACGACCAGGAAGAGTTGTCTTCTTATTTGAATTGTTGATATTGAATTCGAATACCTTGCCGAATTTGGAAATTTGAAAAGGTGGTGAAAATTGGTCAAGGAAGTGAATTATGGACGACAGTGGCTGGACTTCGGAGGGGTGTGTCGACTATGATGCACAATCACTATCGCCATCATTAGTGATATGGACAAGCAGAAGGGCAGTTCCATCGCCAGCTACATAACCTTACAATGCACTTTACACAGCTCTATACCCCGCAAACCACGATAATGGTGAACAAATAGCCACCGTAGAGGTATCCTATAGTTCTATTCAGGGTTTTTCATTCAGTTCTTGGAACACACAAACGTCTTCTTCCGGTGTACTTCATGGTTATCGGCTGAACAGCGTTGCTGACAACGTCATGGACCCCCGACCAGAAATCCAGAGGGCGACCGATACAAAGCCCAGTGAAGCTCCAACCACAGCTGTCTTAAACCCATGTTTGGATCCCATGACATTGGCAATGGACGACGATCAATGTACGTGAGACAACAGTAAAGCAACTGTAACCTTGTCCGTTCCCGTTTCAGATCACTACACAGCCAGTGGGAACGTAACGTTAAACTCGGAGTATAGCAATTTCTCAAGCAATGCTGGCAATGATAACCTTAACGGAGGCCGCAGTGTACATATTACCGGGTATGTGGCAATGTCTTCCCAAGTGACTAGCTTACCTGAGGATCCCAAGAAACACGATCGTGAAAGGATCAACAATCATCACACCTCTGAGCCGTTTTCTGAGGCAGTTTGTCAACTTTAAACTAACCATCGTCAACCAGAAAAGTCACTCTGCGAGGAAACCGGGAAGTCACCTGTTCGCCATCATGATCCGCTAGATCGTGGACATTCACATCCTGGAGAAAAAACGTTTAAACGTAAGCATTGCGATAAATTCTTATCTACTCAGTCTTGCGTCACATCTCATGACTGTCCACATCCTGAAGAGAAATCGTTCGATTGTAACTTGTGTGATAAAACGTTCAATAGGCCATCTCATCTTACCCGTCATGGACGATTTCACTCTGGAGAGAAACCGTTTCCGTGCAAATACTGCGCCAAGCCGTTCGGTGACAAATCCGCTCTAAATGTTCATGAACGTATCCATACCGGGGAGAAGCCGTTCAGGTGTTGTTACTGTGATCAAATGTTTCCCCGTAATACCGATCTTAGAATTCATGAACGTAGCCATACTGGAGAGAGACCATACAAGTGTAAATCGTGCGAGAAGTCATTCACGACGAAATCAAAGCTCACCCGGCATAGACGCATCCATACTGGAGAGAGACCATACGAGTGTAAATCGTGCGACAAGTCATTCAAGACGAAATCAAATCTCACCGTGCATCAACGCATCCATACTGGAGAGAGACAACACAAGTGTAACTTGTGTGATAAGTCATTCACGACGAAATCAAATCTCACCGTGCATCAACGCATCCATACTGGTGAGAGACAACACAAGTGTAACTTGTGTGACAAGTCATTCACGACGAAATCAAATCTCACAGTGCATCAACGCATCCATACTGGTGAGAAACCATACAAGTGTAAAGTATGTGGCAAAGACTTCCAAGCAATGTCAACTCTCGCAAATCATCAACGAATCCACACTCCTGTGAGAATCTGATCAAGTGTCAGCTATGGTGACAAGTCTTTCAAGGTGAAACACAACATGGAAGACCATGCAAATACAAACACCGTAAAAGAGAAAGATTGTTTTCAAGATTGTTGAAAGTGCTACTCATAGGCCCGTTTCGAACCGCAAGTAGAATAAAATCAATGTCGTTTAAAGCCAGATCCGTTATCCATGCAAAGGTCTCTACTTACATGCTAACTTCAACATAATAATGTAACGTGCAAACCATTATCATTGTCATTATACTCCGAGTGGTATCCACTATTTTATTTATTGTTTTCCTTTGCACTTCTTACAAAAAAGGAACGTGTTGCCATTCTTACCTTGCCACTCAATTGCGCTAAACGTTACTGTATGATTTTTAGGATAAATAAGCCATGCTAAATAACCGGAACCCACTGCTGGAGCACGCATGCCTGGTACGGATCTTTTCGCTGGAAGAAGCGCTCTACTGTTTTCATGTTCGCACATGATGCTAAAATCCTTTTCATGTATGTACTCTTGGTTCCATGTGTCATCCTGTATAGTAACGATCTACATCTTATCAAAAATATTCGAATACTATCTCACTGTCCATTTGTTTGCTGAAAATGTGTAAACGAGAAATTTGACTGTAACCACGAGAACTCAAACTAGGGACCCATTGGTATGGCCAGCGATGCTCCCTCTTGATAGCTTAGAACGTAAAACATATCTTACTTCACTGCATCAGACCAGTGTGAGGTTGATAGGTTGACTACTAGAGTCACAGTTAGGATGCACCGCCAGTGCTGGATGTGCCAAATGCCAAATAATATAGAGAAGATGGTATTTGTGATGCTTATCATAGCGGGACAAAGCCAGGTTGTCGCAACTCAGGGTTTCTCGCTCTAGAATGAGTTTCATGATCATTAGTGTCCAAATTATGGTAACCTATAATGGGCATTATCACTCTCTTAGTATCGACTTCCATTGATTTTCGCTATACCTAAGCAGTCAAGTATTCCTGCATATTTCACTCCTTAGGGCTGTATTGATTGCTTATAATAATTATTTGACTGCTTAGGGGTTGCGCAGTTGAACGGTGTCTAGTGTGGCATTGTCACTGCATAAGTAGGTGGTGGTGCAACGGTTGTGCAGTCAAAAAACCGGGATTCATGAGGTTATCGTTCTGGAATTTGAAATACGGACTGTTTGTCGTGATAAATCTAATATTGACTGAGTACAAGGTCAATATAGGAAATAAAAGCTGTAAAAGACCGAGGCATATAATAACTATGTGGCAAGGAACTAGATTTTTCCATTGCTATACTTGGAATAAATGTGATCTCGTACGACACAAGAATTAAAGGATATGATATATTTTCCACGGGGAGATGACCTTCCCTTCTGTATGATTGGGTGCATTTCATTCCCTGCGAGGACACTGTTATTGACTATATTTGGACTCATAGCTGTGCGATAGGAATAACTTTCGTTACTCTAACTGCAATGTAAGGTAAAAGAGAATCTCTTCAACAGTCCTTAAAATTGATTCGGAGAGACACATTCCTGAATGGCATTTCCAAGACCAGTGCTCACAGATCTAGGGCTGCACAACACGCAGATCCTACTTCAGTGACTGGATCGTCTACATCGAGTCATAGTGCCTACTCCTCCACACCTTTCCGTGCACTGAAGTGTCACTGAAGCCGGGACAGAACAAGAACGCATCCATACTGGAGATATGCCTATACTGGACATCTGTCTTTTCAGTGTGCGGAATGTTCGAAATCTTTGGCCAAGCACTCCAACATAATAGTCCAAGAAAGAATCCATCCCTTAGAGAGACTGATCAGGTGACAGCGCTGGTGACAAATCCATCAAAGCGAAAACAGAATTTGAAGACCATGCCAATACTAACAGCCAAAGGTTTGTTTTTCCAGATGTTTAATTTAGGTCTCCATGCAAATTTCACTGCTTACATGCTGACGTCAACACATGTAAAATCAATAACATTATCATTGTATTGCAGTTGATATCTACAGTTTAATTTATGTTTTCCATTGCAGTTCTTACACAAAAGGAATGTATTTCCAAATTAACAAGAAGAAACACTTTTATTGCGCGGAACGTCCCTTGGCGGTTCATGTTTTGTATAGAAAAAACAGTTCTTTTTCTATGTCGCTCATCTTCTAGAAGATACACTGTGCGGCTTGGGATTTCACACATGATTCAAAATATGTGAGTTCCTTTGTTTCTGTATGTAACTTTGATCCCATATGTGGTATTGTACAGTCCCGTTCTAGTCCATGTCAAATAACCCAATTTCTAATAATAAGATAATTATGATGAAGAAAGGAAAAGGACAAAATGTAACGAGTTATGACACACTGTCCACCAACGTAACCAGATCCCTCTTATACAGTCAGCGAGTGCGACAAAATGGTACAAAACTGACAAGGAGTACTGAGACATTTGTGTCATAATATTATGTAAGCACATTTGCTTTGCTCCTACAAGAGGCTTGTTTACTGAGACATTCGGGGTCCTGACACCTAGCTCCAATACTTCTCCAAGGTGCAAACCAACACCCTTCCAACTTGGAAAGCTCAGGTTCGGAAAGTTCCACGAGGGGAAGGACAGCGTTTATTACATAAACTTGAGCCGCCCAAGTTGGGTGGGCTGTTGCTTTGCGTCGTCGAGTTGTAGCGAAGCCGGTCCGTCCAATAGTCTTACTAGTTTCGTCATCATCCAGTAACTTTCGGTATTCTTAGTTGCCGTGATAAGTAGCTCGTGCTCTTCTTCGTTGCGCTTTCCTTCCCCTCTTAGAACTTTCCGAACCTGAGCCTTCCAAGTTATATAGGTTGTTGGTTTGCACCTTGGAGAGGTGTTGGAGCTAGGTGTCAGGTCGCCGAATGTCAGTACTGCTTGTCAGTTTTGTGCCATTTTGTCGCACTCGCTGCCTGTATAAGATCTGGTTACATTGGTGCACAGTGTGTCATAACTCGTAACATTTTGTCCTTTTCCTTTCTTCATCATAACTATATTGGCTCACCATCCGATTTCAAATAAAATAATTATTGCTTTTGATCCTTGAAGGGTGGTGGCGTTCCAACGGATGCGGAGAAAAACCGTTAACTTTTTCTATTGCCTTTGTGCTCCGTCCATTCAACACCACAAACAAAAACAGAGCTGCATAGCCAGTGGCTGAAAATGGGGATGTCTAGTCTAGACACTAATGCTGTTCTCTGACGTAAGGGGTGAAAGGCCACCAACTACACTTTCACAACTCTACATCTCATCGTATCACATCTCTTCACACCCCATCTCTTCATACCTCATCTCTTCACACCTCATCTCTTCATACCTCATCTGTTCATACCTCATCTCTTCATGCCTCATGTCTTCACAACTCATATCTTCATGCCTCATCTCCCCACATACTTGTCCGTAGTCGGCCTAGACTCACACCATCGCCTCATCCTATCCCTTTCCTCATCGGCATGACATAATATATGTTTCAAATTGTGTGATTCCAAGTCAGAATTGGAGGTGAAGACTACATAAGAGAGATGGGTGTGGGTTGGGTTTTTGTATTTTAGAAAAGCGATCCTGTCAGCTTTTCTATTATCCTTTGTTTGTGATTATGGGTATGGGCGTGATTTCACAAGATTATAATATTGTGTAAAGTATAACTTCAGTGCCAGAAATAGATGTGAGCTGTGTTGATGTGCAGACTTTGCGCATTGTTCTTCCAATTACTAAAGAGAAACACCAGCTGTTTACTAATTACAAAACTATTGAATACAACTAGGGAGTGTTGTCTTCCTATTTGAACTGACTTCTTGTTACTTCCAAGCATTTTATTTGTTGTTTTGATTAGAAAACCTTGCAGTGCTAGGAAGAAGAATTACGGTTGTGAGAATTGTTGGAAGTAGGTAAATCATGAACGACTGTGACTGGACTTCGGAGGAGAGTGACGACTCTGATGCACTCTCACCACTGCAGCCATTAGTAATATGGTCAAGCAGAAGGTCAACCGCGTGTCCTCCACGGCCAACTGCACCATCTTATAGTACACCGTACTCAGCTCTTCACCACGTATACCCCAATAGTGGTAATCAAGTAGCCACATCAGAATTCTCCTCTTCCCATTTTTGTCTTCAGAATACCTCATTCAAACCTTGGAAATCACGAACATCTTGCGCCGGTGTTCCTCAAGATCATGTACCCAAGGACATGGTGACAGATAACTTCAGGGACCCTCGACCAGAAATCCAGAGGAACAAGGATACAAAGACCAGTGATGCTTCAAATACAGCTGTCGAAAACCCATGTTTGGATTCCTTGACATCGGCAATGGACAAGGATCAAATTTCGAAAGGTAACAGTACCCCAACCGTTAACGGCTATCGCGAACCCGTTTCAGATCAGTACACAGGCTACGAGGAAGTAGCGTTTCACACTGAATATGGCAAGAACTACAGCAAATCTGCCGATATGAACGTTCACGCAGGGCATGTACAAAACATCGGACATTTTCCAGTATCTTCTCCAGTGGCTAGTCTACCCGCGGATTCCGATCATCACGATCTTGAAATAAACAACACTCATCACACGTCTGAACCTTTTTCTGAGAAAGTTTGTCAACTTCAATCTGACCTTCTCCAACCAGAAAATACACTCTGCGAAGAAGCCGGAAAGTCCCTTGATCGCCAGCCCGATAGGCTTGATCGCGAACTTTCACATCTTGGAGAAAAGCAATATAGATGTAAGCATTGCGATAAATATGTTTCTACTTCGTCTTGCCTAAGTTCTCATGAATGTACACATCCAGAAGAGAAATCGTTAAAGTGTAAAGAGTGTGACAAAATGTTCACCACGCGACATAATCTTACCCGACATGCACGACTTCACTCAGTAGGCAAAGCGTTTCCGTGCAAGTACTGCGCAAAGCTATTCGGTGACAAATACGGCCTACATGTTCATGAACGTATCCATACTGGGGAGAAGCCGTTCAGGTGTGGTTACTGTGATCAAATGTTTCGCCGTAATACCGATCTTAGAGTTCATGAACGTAGCCATACTGGAGAGAGACCATATAAGTGTAAATCGTGCGATAAGTCATTCACGGCGAAAGCAAATCTCACGGTGCATCAGCGCATCCATACTGGACAGAGACCATACAAGTGTAAATCATGCGAGAAGTCATTCACGAAGAAATCAGATCTCACCCGGCATGGACGCATCCATACTGGAGAGAGACCATACAAGTGTAACTTGTGTAACAAGTCATTCAAGACGAAATTCACTCTCACCGTGCATCAACGCATCCATACTGGAGAGAAACCATACAAGTGTAAAGTATGTGGCATGGCATTTCGGGAAATGTCAACTCTCAAATATCATCAACGAATCCATACTTGAGAGTAACCATTTTCGTGTAAGGAATGTGGAAAGTCTTTCACTAATAAATCCAGCCTAACACGTCATGAGTGGATCCATCCCTGAGAGAACCTGATCATGTACAAGCGATTGTGACGAGATTTCAATGTATTGTATTGTATTGTATTTATTTAAAAGGATTCTCCAAAAGCAAATGGATGCTTATCACGGAAGTCTCCCACATAAATATCGCAAGAAAAATGGGGAAATGGGGAGAGGAGAGTGGAAGATGAAGCATGGGAAGAAGGGAAACAAGTACCTAAATATCGAGGTATAAAAGCAGGAAAGAAATCGACGAGGGAAGAAATCACCTCTGCAGATAATAGCGGGACATTTAGATGAAAAAAACCAGCAAGGATTAATTTCAAGGAAAAAAAATTCTCAAACGGAAAAGTTCGGAATTCCAGTCAGAGAATATCTATGCTGAGAGTAATGAGCCTTTAGAGCAATGCGAAAATTGACAGAGGACTGAACGCAGCGGATGTGTTCTGGAAGTTTGTTCCATTCCACAGATAAACTGAAGAGAGGGGATTTAAGGAAATGGGCGCCAGAACGAGGTAAAACTATAGAGGACGGGTGACGACAACTAAGGGATACATTGAATTTGAAACGAATTAGCAAAGACGGAAACTGGTAAAACACATGATGAAAATACAGCAAGGACAGAATCTGACGACGCCACTTCAGGGATGACCAGTCACAAGTACGATTAAGAATCTGCTTCGGAGTTTCCCACTCAGGAGGGTGCCGGGTCTTACAAAGCAGATATGAACGAGCAGCAACGGCTTGCAGTCGGTCTAACGTAAGCGAATCTGAATGGGATACGGCGAATGACCAGACAGGGACTGCGTATTCTAACAGTGGTCGTACGTAACACTTGTAGAGCAAATTCACGGTTGAAGCAGAAAGGAAATGGGCCATATGGCGCAACAGAAAAACACGACTGCGAAACTTATGGGTGATAGATTTTATATGGTCAGAAAAATTTAGTGAAGGAGTGATAGTCACGCCGAGATGACAGTGGCTATGACCTTTCTGAATAGGCACACCGTTCATTGTCAAGGGGGATGACGGGCCGGGGGCTAATGCATATTTTTGAAAGGGTAGGTGGACGCATTTACTGGTGTTAAACGTCATGGCAGTAGCTGATGACCATTGACAACACTTATCAATGTCAGTCTGGAGCAATGCATGATGGATAGGAAGTGAGGTGTTTGCTGGAGAAACAAGAATTAAATTAGAGTCATCAGCAAAAAGGGATAATGCGAACGCAAATACTACGATCACTGATAAAGTCCTTCACCCAAGAACAGGCAGAAAGAGAACACCAACCTGAAACAGATTGAATAGCTAAATGATGACTAACTCTGTCAAAGGCCTTAGAAAAATCAAGGAACAGCTGGTCACAAGAAGACTTAGAGTCAAATGCACGCGAAACAATTGAGGTAAGCTGTACCAATTGGTCAACTGTTGACCTCTTTCGACAAAAGCCAAACTGGCTGGAACTGATAATTTTATGGCTCTCAACAAACGAGTAAAACTGACGGCTAATCATAGACTCATACAATTTGGCAACTGCATTTAACAGCGATATAGGACGGTAATTGACTGGGTGAGAAGGATTACCTTTTCCCTTGAACACAGGTACAACAACGGCAGATTTCCACTCCCTGGGCTGAGTACTGGACAGCAAGCAGCGGTTGAAAAGGGCGGAAAGAGACTGTGACGTGACCTCAGCTGTTTCACGAAGGATGCGATTGTTCAGCAGTCCAGCGGTTTTACGTTGAATGGGAAGTCTGGATAGCGTGTCAAATACGGACTGCACAGAGAATGGTTGTATGGAGAACTTCACAGTGGACGTGGGTGTTAAAATACCAGCTGAGTGCAGGTCAGGTGTTAGCAGTGGCGCCTGGCTGTAGCTCGCAAACAATTTGGCTAGGAGATTCGTCTTTTCCGTATTACTCGTGGCTGGGTAGGCTTGGTTGTCATGGTAGAGGTCAGGGATAACCGGAGACGGGCGATTCACATTACAAAGGATCTTTGCTTTGCGCCACCATGTACGAGTTCCATGATGCTGAGCCATGTCTCTCGCCATCCTCTCGTGATAATGGCGTTTCGCCTTCCGGAGCAAGGAGGTAAGACAGTTACGTGAGAGTCTATACGCTATCCAACTATCTGTAGATCCGAGACGTTTGGCCTTGGCGAAAAGGCGATCCCGAAGCCGCCTCTGACGATGGTGAACAGCAGAGTACCAAGGCTTGTTTGATGGAAATGTGCTTCTCCGGACAACGGGAACAAACAACGATACAGAGTCTTCCAGCGCTGCGCGCCACAATTATGCGAAAAGAAACATGGAAGACCATGGAAATACAAAACACAGAAAACAGCAGTATCGTTTCAAGATTATGGGAAATGCTTTTAACCTATTAAATAGCGTTTAAAACATTATTCCTTGTTTATGCTTCAAACGCTTCAAACTCTCTAACTCGTTTTCTTATAGGCATTTTTGGTAACTGTTCAGTTAGAGTTATTGCTCTGCGTGCACCGTCTTATCCTGAAATTTCTTCAAACACATGTACTATGATTCTGTTTGCGCTTTTCATGTATCGTTCAACGTAATACATATTGCTGAAATTTACAATTTTTCCTCGTACTTTCCTGTTGTCGTCTACTTTTTTCTTGCATTATCGTTGTCTACCATACACGCTGGGTGGTGTGCTAGTAGTTTCCTTCTGGTAATATTCAGTCAATGAGTTAGGAGAATTTACAGAATGGAGCTGGACGTCTGTAGAATTGCGACCTATGCTAAGCACTGTAATCTTCTAGTCGTAGTGAATTCAATCGTTTTCGTAAACCGTGCTTTTTACTATAATTATTATTATCGTGATAATTGATGGAATATATGGTAGTTTCGTAGGTGTGTTGCGGTGAAGTTTTCATCTGACATGCGAGCCGATAATTCTTAGATGTGTTCATTTCTTGCTCTACTTTCGTTGTGTTTGCATGTGTGCGTGCGCTTGTCCGTTTGTGTTTGATTGTCGCCTTGAATGTCGGTTTATTGTTCCATTGTAGGCGCATACTGTGACGTCTTTCTCGTCACAGGTGGTCGTTGGCACTGAAATCGGCGCTATAGTTGGTTAGACCCGTTCCTCACACAAACAAGTCAACAAAGAGGCATCTTTGGAATGAGAAGTGCTGGTTTCGAAACAACTGGTTTGAAGCTCAAAGTACAGCAGCGATTAGGTCATAGTAAAGCTGCTGTAAACTCAAAGTAGAGGTGCTGTTAGCTCAAAGTAGAGCTGCTGGTAGCTCAAAGTCGAGCTGCTGGAAGCTCAAAGTAGAGCTGCTGGTAGCTCAAAGTAGAGCTGCTGGTAGCTCATAGTAGAGCTACCGTTAGCTCAGAGTTGAGGTGCTGGAAGCTCAAAAGAGCTGCAATGCTAAATGGATGTAATTTAGTTCAAGGCAGAGCCGCAGAAAATAGCTAGATAACACCAGTTGTGAGAGTGTTTGCTCAAAGTAGAGATGCTAATAGCTAAACGTAGAGCTGCTGTAAGCTCAAAGTAGAGCTGCTGTTAGGCCTTGGCGGATAATGCTCGAAAAGGTGGCAGATTCTGCTCGAAAAGCAGTGAAATTGGCAGAACCATACAAACCTTATGGCGGGCAATTCCTCGAATTCTGCTCCATTTCTTTATCCACATACCAAACATGCATGAAACTTATCCGAAAAAGTACCGAATTCTGCCAATTTTTCTGCCGGCATTATCCGCCAAGGCCTAGCTGCTGTTAGCTCAAATTAGAGCTGCTGTTAGCTCAAAGTAGAGCTGCTGTTAGCTCATCGTAAAGCTGCAATGCTAATGGATGTAATTTAGCTCAAGGCAGAGCCGCAGGAAATGGATACATAACACCAGTTGCGAAAGTGGATCCGATCAGTTCCTACCATTATTATCATGATGGTCTGAATACGTTGGATAGGGAGGGATGGGGGGAAAGGAAACACTGCAGAAGTACGATCTGTTGTCTGGAAGAACACAACAGGGCAAGCAAGATTTGTTTTTCTTTTCAGCAAAACGAGTTGGGTGCCATAGTTTTGTGATTATGCAGCAAAACATAGCGCGTGACGTCAGTCTTGAAGACGGTATAGAGCCATGCAGTGCAGCGTGTGAGCTAGTTCGGACGAGTACTAGCACAGCTAGCACCCCAAATTTGGTGTCGATGGAATCTTTCAAAGAAGATACTGTGTCCTAACTGGCTTTTCTGACAAATGGAGAGGTGAATCCGTTGTTATATGTTTTGAGCTAACCAGGCTTTAATGGTGTTGGGGCGGCGGTTCAATCCTGTGACCTGTGACAATCGCTTATGGCCAGAGATGCCCTACAGCTAAGCACTCTACCACTAGTGGTCATCCGATCAGTGACCGTTCAATATTTTCCACGGACTTAGAAACTCACGCCTGCTGTGAATCCACACAAGCTGGTGGGATGCAAGGAGCGTACAAGACGTTTCCTGTTTTAATTGTGCTGTTTGTACATAGTGCGGAACTCACGATATTCATTTCGCTTATATCTTTCTTAACACTTAGATCCACCGACATGGGCAACAGTTATAACGTGACGAGTTAGCAAGAGCACCACATCTATGCTTAGAACAGGGCGTGCTTTAATCGATTGTGTAACATATGCCTGGTACTACATATACCATATCACAGGAGACCATGTAAACCTTGAATCTATTCATAGCAGACACTTTGTGTTCTTCGATTCTAACAACAACGTGTCTCAGATTGCACCACCTCTTGTCACGTGTTGCAGACTCCACACGAAGCATGGCTGATCCCATGTCAAGCGTTTAGGTGAAAAAATATGGAAATAGAGATAGTGTGTGTGTGTTTGTGTGTGGGGAGGGGGGGGGGTGTTTGTTTGTGTTAGTGTGCATGTGTGTGTTTCCGGGCTTGAGCGCATGATGTGAAAAGATCATAATGTGTC